CTATATATATATATATATATATATATATATATAGCGTTTAGTTTCACAATACATTGAGCTCTTCATGTTTATATTCAACGAATCAAACCTATACTAAGGCACGTTTCCGTATTGCATGCGTGAAAGATATAGATTACAGGAGCGAGAATTGTTTTGCTTATTTCATGTTTACCTTTCATTTCATTTCTTCTTTTACGTTCTGTTCTTTCAGCCTTTTCTCATATGTAGATCTTAAATTCTGCAACTCTTTCGATCATACTGTTTGTATTAGTGTTTATTTAAAACCAACATTTTTAGGTTAGTATTCTTTTTGAGAGTAAACATAAACATATTCAAAGCAAAACTTTAATTTAAAATAAATTTCAACAATTAATACTAAGCTATTATGAAGCATAATGGATGTCATAGCTTTACGTTTGATATCTTACTCTCGAGTATATTTATAATCTCTTCCGCGGCTCTCATTCTATCCTTGTGTATTGTTACCTCAGATCAAATTCTTTATTTATCTAACGAAGAGAATATTGTCCTGAAACAGCATGTCCAGGTTACACCAATACATAATTTGTCTAATTTTCGTGCAGACAACGTTGAATCTGCCAAAGAAAATGAAGTAGTTGTAATCCCTCAATTGGATGCTTCGATCGGGTTTTTGAGGACGTGTATAATCGCTAGCTGCTTCTACCGCAGCAGTTTGAAAGGTCCTGTGCCTTTTGTGGAACGATTTGTTAGCGAATCAAAAAAGTTGAAGGTATATGACTCATTTCGTAATGCCTTGGAAGAGGCAGTGGATCAATTGAATCTAGGCTACGAGTTGCTGACGTTAGATGTATCGCATTCTAGCCACTTCTGCATTACCTTAAAGTATGCGCTTGCTAGCATTGCGATAGTGGCTCTTTCATTATTCTCACTGGGGTGTTCATCAATCTCTCTTCTTTATATTATAACGAAAATTAGATCGAATTGGACGGGGTTAACTCATATGGAAAGATCAAGTGGAATGAATGAAAGAATTACCATATGTGGGGATCTCACCTTTTGTAATGTTTACGAAATAAAATCGAGGCTTCGATACGCACTCTTGAGTGTTATTGTTACATCAAATATATTAGCAGTTATTTTTTCCATCGGTGCCGTATCAGCAAGCACATATGTAGTGTCAGGTGACACCGAATATGGTGCAACCGTATGCAACTCCTTCATCTATTCGATGAATAAACTCAGAAGCAAAGTAAATGTGCTTAACAACGAAGATCCAACGTCACCTTTGAACATGTCTAAGTGTTCTCCGGGCAGCACGTTTTGGATGCTGGTTGCTGAACCCATACTGTGCATATTGGCTATGGTCTGCACAACTCGACTTTTTTTCTACTACAAGTCATGTGTATCTATCGTGGCACTCCAGCAGCCAAGAGGCTGAAATCTATATCCCACACTATGTCGACATCAGAGTTCCCCTATCACAACTCTCGCGTCGAAATCAACCCTTTGACAGAGCGAGACAATGAAAGTGAATTGGAACTTAACAATAGTAATGAATTTGAACAGATAAAAGAACAATCGTGAGGGTAACCTGACGAAGGATTTCAAAAATATTCCAGAAAAGCACCTACAATCTTTACAATCCATTCCCCAAAGCTTTCTATCTACACACATAATATCACTTTCGAACAAGTATGGGAAGCCTAATTGAACTAATCGATCTGGGGAGTTCTCGAGGCCTCAATGTGAGTGTCAAATTATTGTGACTAGTTCAAAACTGCTCTGTACCAAATGACTATCAGGAGGAATCAGGGTATCTGTGGGTGAAAGATACGTCTCAACTTGTTCTTTGACATGGTCGTATGAGTTTTTTTAACAAAGGATTACATAGGACTTATCGTTCCGCGTGGTTACGCAATGCAAGCCTCTTCTTAAGAAGAGGTACTAGGGGAACTCTTTCTCCTTGATTGTCTATTTAGTATGTTTGGCACTGCTGTTGGGGCATTCCTTAGGTGACAATTTTTTTCCTCACTTATAGAGTGCTGCATGTGAACATGAAGTGAGACTCAAATATTTCCGTCCTTGACAAATTATTTTTCTGTTCTTGGTAGAACTCTGGGTCTCTGTTGTGTTTTAGAGTGTAAGACATTCACTTATGTAATTCACAATGTGGCTGTCATGTGTTGCTCTTAAAAATTTATTATGTATTTTTGTTATTCGGAATATATGAATTTACAAATTCGCTCTTTACGATGTGCATATAGTTTAGGTTGATAACTCTTGCTTTGAACATTTTACATACGGAATTAAGTAAAAATTTCACGGCTTGTAGAGCCTCCTTTTTTCTTCAAAAAAGAACCCTACCGCCGAAAAAAAATTTATGGGTATTCTTTCAAGACTAGGTTTTGCAGTTTAGGAATATGTTTTTCTGACTGATTTCTCTTTTATGATCTCTACTGTTAACCTTTTATAGTAACGATGAGACATGCTTTTTAGTTTCGATGTAACTCTTTTTAAATATCATATTTTAAAATTCCAAGAGACCTCTCTTTATTGCTTATATTTACCCTTCTTTTGTTCATCTATCTATATGTATTATACGAAAAAAAATGGGAAAAGGTTCTTTGCAGTGGAAAATCAAGAAAACTTACTCGTTATTCTGTGATGAACGGAATATTTTTTGGGGAGAAAACATATTGTTTCACTTTCCGATGTGTTTCTACAAAAAAAAAAGGAAGTCATAATGATGCACATATGAACATAATTGTAAGATATGAAGTCATCTTTTTTATTCTTGATTATTATCTACATATGAAACTTAAAATAATTGAATCTAACAATAAATTGATGTTCCTCTTACGCGCTTCATTTTTGAGCCTCATAAAATTTTTGTTGTCCTTTCCGTTGTGTGTCTCTCTTCGAAGGAAAATTTTTTTTTTGAATACATATCAATGAGCGCAAAAAACGTTGACGCCTTCAATGCTTCGCATAATCGACTGCGAGCGGCCGACTTTCAGGATGCTGAGGAGCGTGAAAACGCTGAGTACGCCGAACGTCACAACCTACAGGCCCTTTTCAGCGAGTTCGGCGCACAGTTACGCGAGAAAGACCCCAAAACGGAGCACGAAGCCGAGCGCATTCTTTTAGACATGCTTTCTCACCGTAAAGCCGAGCGTGACCGTGCAGCGCTTCGTCTGCGCTTCAAGCATTCATTCGAGGTTAGTCTTGAAAACGGCCGTCGTGTGCTCAAGATGACTGTAGAGCAAGAGAGTGCCGTCCTACAAGTAGCACAGAAGACTCGAAATATCAATTTGGATGGTAAGTATCCGATCACTATAGAGCAGTCTGAAGAGCTGACTGAGCTGTTTTATGAACTCGGCCGTTTCGTATTGGAAACTCAGAAGGGTGAAGTAAGTGGATTTATTAGTATTGATGACCGCGATGTTTATTTGCTCTCTGGTGGAAAGGACTGTTTAAATGCTGGCGACGAGTTATTCAACGTAGCACTTCTTATGAATATGAACGCTAATAATGCTGACAAAGTGCAACAAGAGGCTCAACATGATTAAAGCAGACGAATGATGAAAGAATAGCAAGGGGGAAAATGGTGTCACTACTTATTTTATTTATATGGGTATAAACTAGAATATCATGATCATTGTCTTTTCCTTCTTCCAAATTTTGAAAATTTGTAAGGAGTACGTTTTTCCTCTTTTTCGTTCTTGTATTGATCGTACTATATGTAAGAAAATCATTCTTTTGTAATATTGCGACGCATAAATGATGCTAAATCTTTGAGAAAAAGCGTGGGAAAAGGAGCTCTAATACGGCGAGTCTGAGCAAAGCAGGAACAACAGAATTCATATCTTTCAATTATATTCTTTTGTTACCGAAGATGTCATACATATACCAAAAATAAATTATCTGTGAAGTGTAGGATCCGTTTTGAAAAAAGGGATTGAGACCACAGTGTGACAGAATGGTGCCTAGGAAACGAAACGCCTTCCATACTATCTCTCCATACTTCCTTCACCTACATCCCTTTTCCTTTTCCTTTAATTTTTGTTGTAGGTCATTAAAA